GGGTGAGCGAGCCCGTGTCCCATCCTGTGCGTGCCCCTGCTGGCCCCCACGCCGCCCTGCCCTGGGCTGTCCCCAATCTCCCTGGTGCCACTTGCAGGGCCGCCTGCCTGTGAAGTGGATGGCACCCGAGGCCTTGTTTGACCGCATCTACACCCACCAGAGTGATGTGTGAGTTTGAAAGAAGCGATGGCCAGGGATATTTGGTATAGAGAGCTTCCGGTACAGTAGAACCCTGTGTGCCCCTCTGGATGGAGCCAATGGGCGGGGGGAGTGGGGGGAAGAGATGGGGGACGGGTGTCTCCTTCCATCTCAGAACAAAACGAAACATTGCATGTGTGCACCTACTCTGTTCACTCAGTAGACGTTGAAAGGCCAGTCTGTTCCCCAGCACTGCCCTTGGCATCCCCCTCAAGAGTTTGTGCTCCGGAAGGGTGGGTTCGGGATGACGTGCTGGTGGAGAGATGGAGAGGGTTCTAGGCTGGCTGAGTTCTGTTCCCGTAAGACCCAGCAGCTCTGTGCTCATCCGCAGCTGGTCTTTTGGGGTGCTCCTGTGGGAAATCTTCACTCTGGGAGGCTCCCCGTATCCTGGCGTGCCTGTGGAAGAGCTTTTCAAGCTGCTGAAGGAGGGTCATCGAATGGACAAGCCCAGTAACTGCACCAATGAGCTGTAAGCATGGGAAGACACTTGGTCCTGAGCCAGGACCTGGGGGAGGAAGGGGAGAAGAAGGGGGTTCAGGTAGATCAAGTAGCCCTTCCTGTGATTCCTCCCACGGCCTCTCTCCACGAGCTCTTTAATCTGTCTGCGTGGACCTCCCTCCCCTGACTCGACAATCCCGTCCCAGATACATGATGATGCGGGATTGCTGGCATGCAGTACCCTCTCAGAGACCCACCTTCAAGCAGCTGGTGGAAGACCTGGACCGCATTGTGGCCTTGACCTCCAACCAGGTGAGGCTGTCCTGTCCTACTAGGTGCATCTCTGTGAGTGAACAGCACTACCACAGGGAGGAGAGTGCCGGATCTCTTGTCTCTCCTCTCACAGGAGTATCTGGACCTGTCAATGCCCCTGGACCAATACTCTCCCGGCTTTCCCGACACCCGAAGCTCCACCTGCTCCTCGGGGGAGGATTCCGTCTTCTCTCATGAGCCGTTGCCTGAGGAGCCCTGTCTGCCCCGACACCCAGCCCAGCTTGCCAATGGCGGACTCAAACGGCGCTGACTAGCACCCCAGTTCCCACCCCCGAACTCCATCGGCGGCTGTAACCCTCACCCCCCTTCCCTGCGGGACTCACTGCCTTCCGCTTTGCCCCTGCCCTGCTGGCAGGAGCCAGCTGCCTACCTGAGGCCTTCACCCCATGGAGTTCACCTCTCTTCCTCCTCTTCCTCCTCCTCGCAACCCACTTGTGAGAGAGAGGAGCAGAGAGGCAGGTACTTGCTCGTGGCCACTTCGTTCCCTCCCAGATGTTGGACCGAGACCCCTCCCCGCCACCCGGCGCTGCCTGGAGGGCTGGGGAGCGGGAGATGAGCAGGCATGCGGGCGAGAGCTGACTGAGCTTTCCCGTGTTGGTTTTTGTCTGCTTCGAGTAACCCGTAAGCCTGAGTTCCGGTGGGAGGCCTCGTCCTCAGGGCTGCCGCCGTAGTGAGGGGAGGTCAGCGCTCCGGGCCTCGGCCATCGGCAACCTCTGCTCCAGATAGATGGTGCCAGTGGCTTATTAATTCCGATACTAATTCGCTTTGCTGACCAAATGCCTGGTACCAGAGGATGGGGAGGCAAAGGCTGGGAGCAGTGTCGTGGCCCTGGGGCCCAGCCCCAAACTGGGGGCTTTGTACATAGCTATGAAGAAAACACAAAGTGTATAAATCTGAGTATATATTTACATGTCTTTTTAAAAGGGTCGTTACCAGAGATTTACCCATTGGGTAAGATGCTCCTGGTGGCTGGGAGGCATCAGTTGCTATATATTAAAAACAAAGAAAAAAGAAAAAAAAGGAAAATGTTTTTAAAAAGGTCATATATTTTTTGCTACTTTTGCTGTTTTATTTTTTTAAATTATGTTCTAAACCTATTTTCAGTTTAGGTCCCTCAATAAAAATTGCTGCTGCTTCATTTTTATATGGGCTGTGTGACAAGGGAGAGAACGGTCAGCTGAAAAGGAGCGAGCCTGATGGGGCCCTGGGGCTTTGTCGGTCCAAAGAGGGCCATAACTACCCCACAGTTCCCTCCTAAACCTTGTCTCCTTGGGGCCTGCACCGAGACCTCGGTGACAAACCTCTCCTATCCCCCCCCCTCGGTGCTTTTGGAAAGGCAGGAAAAGACGACGTGTGTGTAATGGGCAGGAACCTCCCATCTGTGCACCAGAGGCACTGGGCCCGGAGCCAAGGCCCCACCACCCTCAACCACAGATTGTTTCCTCAGAGGAAACTGATGGGGTTGGTGGGGTCGGAGGGTCAGAGGGGGAGCCGGGGGGCCTCCCTGGGAAATAGCCAAGGGGTAGAGCTAAGTGATTAAGAGAAAAGCTAAGGATTACTCCACCAAGGGCCTGCACAAACTCAGACCCAGATATCCAGATACCCCCTTTATGTGGGTGCGGTTTTGTCTGTGCTTCTTTGTGGGGGAAAGCTTGTCACCTGAGATCAGCTTTACATTCGGGTCCCTTGCTTCATGTTTCCCGGCTTACCCCCGTTCATGGCTGTCCCCCACATCGTGCTTTCTGTGTCTGTGACCAGACTTCATGTGTTGGAACTATCACAGATCTTGGCTTCCTATAGTTCTTCCTGTACAAACTCCACCCCGTCCCCCAGGAAAGGGAAAGAATTCTCTGAATGTTTGGGTTTGGGCTGCTTGGAGATTTACTTTCTCTGCCACCTGCTGGTTATCACTGCACTCCACACGTGGATCCCCGCTCCTCAGAACCTTAGCGCTCAGCCTGCCGCCACTCAACCTCTCCACCCAAAGCTTCCACTTTGCTGGATGGTTGCTAAATACAACAAGGTTGTAGGTTCGATTCTCTTTCGTTTCTGCGGGGCAAATGGGATCGCTGCTTTGAGTCTCCTTTCTGAGCTAGCTATGTTTTGGCAGCTGCAGTGCTGGCCGCTGTTGTAAAGTTCTCTCTTACCCTTGTGTGTCTCTGTAAATATGCATCTGTCAACATAGTACAGTTTGTGTTTATGCTTAAAGAAGGCGTCATTTAGTGAACAGAGCCAGGAAGTGAATTTCTGACCTTAAAACCATTTGCTTTGAGACCTTAGAGTGGTGTCTTTCCTTGTAAAATACTGATAATTTCTGACTTGGCCCTCCCTCGAAGCAATGCTGTGGGAGTGGATGGAGGATCCGTGAAGAGCTTCGTATGTCTTTGGAAAGATGCCAGAGAAATAGAAGACACTGTTATTATAACCGTGATGTCCTTGCTGTTACTACACAAAATCACCCACAGATTTCCCCAGAGGCTGAGCTAGCTGTCAAATAAAAGATAGTAAAATTGACCTGAGAGAAAATGAAATGGCCATTTTACTTAGATAACAGATTGGGTCTCCTGAGGGAAGGAATCCAGTTTATCTAATGAAGATGTCACGCTGTCAAGGCACTGAATCTGTCTGGTTTCCTGAGGGTTAAAAGATTAGGGTCTGGGATCACCACAACATTAATCAATACTGCCTTTCCACCTTTTCTAATTGCCACAGACTGAGGGTCATCAGTCCCTTGGTACCACTAATGTACTATATTGATCTCAAGGAAGAAAGATTGAACCTCAGATGAAGAAAAAAAATCTCTCAATGACGAAAAGCCGTCATGACTATCAGCTGCCACTGGGCGGAGCCAGCAGGCCAAAATCTCAGTCAACACTCAGCAACCAATCTGCTTTGAAGTTCCCTTCCTTAGTCCCACCGACCTTGCCTGCTGTGGCATGGTGGTGACTGGGAAATCTTTAGCCTCGGTTTTAGCTTTACAGAGCATTTATTTGATGTCACCCGCGTGACTGGTATTGTGACTGAAGTCACGGCACAAGTGCAGGTCCTAAATGTCAAGTACCACCAGCAACCTCTCTCCTTTGTAGCAAAACTCTCTGTGTTTGAGACACAGGCCAAATCTGACATCACCACCGAGGACTGGTTTTCAAAACTGCCTAAAATCGTACACAGTGATATGATTAGCGGCTGCATACCAGGGCATCTGCCTCTGCAGGGAAGAATAGAGTGCAGGAGAGCAGAGGGCTTCGTAGCGATCTGGCAGAGCCTTCTGCTCCCTTGGCTGATGGGAGACGGAAGGTGAGCAAGAACCCTGCTGTTCAGGAAGAATCCGTCTGGGGCAAGTTCTAACGAGATGGGCACCTAACAGTATTCAAGGCCGTGCATACTGTGCGGCCTGCCAGATGTTTGTGTTGAAGCACAGGAGTGACACATTGAATGAACATGCTGCCAGCTACAGATTTGACTCCTGTTGCTCGAGGAGAGCTGGGGCCGGTGGCGTGCTGGAGCTGGGTCTGCGGCTGGCCGTGCACACCTCTTAGCTCGTCTCCAGTGATCTCCTGTTGGCAGCTTGAAGTCAAGTGCTACACATCAGGGCACACCACCCCCCCCACACCTAACCAGAGTTGAACGTTAATTGTTTAGCAGAACGCCACCAGCTCGGTTTCAGCACAGGGATAGATGTAACGATCATATAGAGCCCAACAGCCGAGAGGGCTGTGTGATGAGGCCAAAGAAACATCCTTGACTTCTCTGAGCCACTATCCTAAGAACAGGAAGAGGGGTATATCAGGTGTCTCAGGTACCTAAATGTAGGGGGAAAATGAGCGAGGGCCAACTGGGGCCAGAACTGCCCAGGGGCCCCTTGACCTAACCATTCCCACTCTGCTTAGAGGGAGAGCCAGAAAGAATCGTAGAAGGGCCAGCAGTATTTATGAATCATTCAGCTGAAACAGGACTGAACAAGTTGACTAGCTAGGCCCTTTCCCACCTTTAACGCTTGAATGTGAGCTAATTAAAACACACGCCCATCATTTTGAAAATGGGATAGTTTATTGTGAATCACCTTACTGGGCCAATTCACTAGGCCAATAGCAAGATCCATGGAATGTGCATAGTAGGGACTCATCATTTAGCAGGCCATGGTGGGACTTCTCCTCTGGTGGAGAGGAGGCTTGAAAAGCATTGTAAAGTACATACCTTTTCTGTGAAGTGCTGATGACAGCCCTCACTTAGGGAGGGATCCCAGAGAGGGAGATTTGCGTTTTACTTGGTTTAATTGACTCCCATCTAACCGCTTTCAATTTCACAGCAAGCAAAGAAAACTAATTTCATCACCCACAGGCCAAAATATCTTTTCTTTCTAAGCACTCCCTGAGGGAAGAAAGCTGTTGGGTCAGCTGCGTGGCAATCTATTATGTTAAGTGTTTTCCGATTTTTTTTTTTCCAGTATTAACAATACTGAACACATCGAACGTAAATATCTGAACGTAACACTCGTTACTGGGTAGCGCAGGGATTATATCAGACTTTAACAACCCCTATGACTAACAAATAGCCTTGTTTGTGAAAGACAAACAGACTAGAAAAAACATCCACCCAGCACAGACAAATGGTTAAGTCTTAAACCCTTAATTATGTTTCCTGGCAAAATGGTGGCTAATGAAAGCCACATGTGCAGGAGTGGTGGCAGCCTCCCAGATTCTCGGAGCCTCTGCAGGCCCCGGAGGGGGCGTCTCAGAATAGCCAAGCAGCAGCCAAGCCTTTTTGATTGCCAGTCTGTATAACTCCCCATTTTTGTCTCCAAAGAGCTTTTTCTTCTTTATATCCAGAAGGACTTTACCAGGGAGTATGTCCGTTCCACTTCATAAGGTGCTCTGTTTCCAGGGCACTGTTCATACTGATGGGTCACTGGAAAGGTTAGGTGGGCGTACAATGGTTTTGGGGTTTCCAGGTTCTCCCGAGAGCTGTCTAAGGTGCCAGGCTGATTCCATTATGCAAAAAATTTCCTCCCGTGGAGGACATGCACACAAATATCTAGCTGTTCAAAAATAACATGGGGAGGGGGCTTTAACACAAAGTTTAGTGGGATGACATAATGGTACAGAGGAAGTTGGCTTTGCGATTATATTTCTAAACGGTCTGAACTTGGTCTCACTGCTGACATCATCTGGAATGGTTACAAGGCCCCAAGGACGAAATGGCTGATCCTCTGCTCAAACCAGACACGGATCGTCGTAGCTGGGCAGGCCTTGATGGATGCCACTGCGGAAAGCAGGGGGCTGGAGAGAGTGAGCTTGGTCCTGCAGTAGGCCTTACGCTCCTTTTGAACTAGCCTTGCTGTTCTGGGTTGTCTTTGGTGATTTGGCCTGGAGAGTCTAGGTACAAAACACAAGGACTTCAGGTACTGGTCACAGTCGGATGGGTACGTTCTTCAGGAGTCCCTCTTGTATGTTCTTAATCAAATAATGACAGACCATAAAATAAAACCTGAGTTTATAATTAATTTACCTTGATAATAGAAATAAGAAACACCTGCAAGCAAGGCCCCTGGATGTTCACCCCCAGACGTCTGGGTGTTTGCTGGCTCTCTTCTCTGGTGCCAGTGGTGACCGTCACCCCCCCCCCCCCACTTACTTGTGTCATGCTTCTGCTCTTGCCCCAAATTCTTTCACCCAAATGGGAGAAGTGGATAGATAAGTAATTTCTTATTTACATGCATTTCTCCCAAGATTTAAATTGCTTTCCTGCTAGTATTTCCTGACATCTGAAGCCTGTGTGAAGTACACAACATATGGGAACTATTTCCATCTGGCACAAAAGAAAATAAGAATCTGCCTATATTGTAATTAGCTTCTAAACTTAACGTGTTTAGTCCTGATCCATGATTGCATTGGTTGATAAGGTGTTTTGTTTTGTTCGCTTTTGGATAACGGAGTTTAAAAATTTTTAGTGGTTATAAAATGACTAAAGTTCAGCCTACAACTTCCTGTTTGGAGGACAGGAAGAACTGTGCCGTGTTTTGCAATAGTTACCATTCTAGATTCTCCCTGCCCTTAAAAATAACCAGAGAGAAAAGGTTTTCTTTTTTCAGACACTTACAGCTTCTTTAGCAGAAGGGACGGGTCCTTTAGGTAATGAGATAGGTGATGGTGGCGTTATGGGCGATGAGGTAACTGGGGGCAGTTGTATAAATTCTTCATCCTTAAACATGAGAATCGAGAGTTAGGCTATTGGTTTGAAACAAAATGTGTACTAGATCCATAGTCACACTGCCATAACTGCCAGGAACGTGGACGTGACATCTTCTGGCATTGGACTCAAGAAGCTAAATCTGGAACCTAATTACATATAGCCAAATGTTGGCCTTTCTTAGAAACAGATCTGATGGCACAATAAATATTCCTTATTAAAGACCACCACTGTATTGAAATGCAGTTTCCTTGAAGGAGTTAAAAATGGATAAGTTAACTTGTTTTCATTTTTAAACCTAATTAATCAAATGAAAAGTAATTGTCTAACCTTAGTTCCCTTCAGTGGAGGCGCTACATCCAGCAGGTTCTCTTTAGATTCAGGAGAAGTAGCTGGTTCCACAGGAATATCCGTCTTTGGAGACTAGGAAGAGAGATGTTTTATATAAACATAAGCTTTCTGTTATTCCTGAAACGCAGAAGCACTTCCTAGAAGTCAATGCTTACTAGTACAATTTGCTTTCCACTAAATCCCTGATTTCTTCTTCCAACTATACCCTTTGTCAGAACATATGAAATATGTCCCTGAAATAGCAACATAGTATTCTTAATCTGTGAATTTTGAGCACCTACATACAAAAGTTGCGCCCTAATAAGATTCTAGTATTAAAAATCCTCAGTTGTTGGGACACCTGGCTGGCTCAGTTAGTGGAATGTGACTGACTCTTGGTCTCAGCGTTGTGAGTTCCAACCCCATGATGGGTATAGAGATTACTTACCTAAAAAGTAAAATCTGAAGGGAAAAAAAAAATCCCCATTCATATACAAGCTCCTGACTTGCCAATTCTGGTCCTGTTCTGTTCGCGCACTCAACAACAAGTTGCCTTTTCTCAATCACTCATCGGCTTTTTTTTTTTTAATATTTATTTTTGAGAGAGGAGGAGGCAGAGAATCCCATGCAGGCTCTGCCCTGAGCCCTAGAGGAGGCTTGAACCCACAAACCATGAACGTAACTTGAGCCGAAACTAAGAGTAGGACGCTCATCTGACAGAGCCACTCAGGCGCCCCTCATCAGCTCTATTAGCGTTGATATAACTTGGTCAAAATTGACATCTTTATCATCTTGGTGTCTAATAATAAGTGGTAAATTTGTCTGAATCATTAAAATGGTAGGTGCTGCTTAAAAGAAGCTCCTGCAACCTGAACAAAATGTAAGGGATGGTGTTCTAGAATAGCTAACTTACCTTCAAGAATTATGTTAATTAGATTTGAAAAGTGAATATATTACTGCTCTTTGGAAATAAGTAATTTCTTTGTGCACTTTGGAGGGAAAAGAGCTACATATATCCTAAATTATAGTATATTTAACTTGATGTCTTTACAGAACCTAGCATGCTACTTACTCTCATATATATATGAAAAATAGACATTTAAAAACATGGATTAAAAAAACAACTAATAAAATGCCTAGAACCTTATCATTTTGTCCTTGATTTCTAGGTCTTTCTCAAGCATTCTAGAAAGGAACATCTGGGTAAAGAGTTTATTCCCCTCTAGAATAATTCTGGAAACACAAATTTAGCTCTGAGATATTATACTATTCCAAGATTTCCTTGCTCCTGAGCAAAGTCTAAGAATGACAAATTTGGTCTGTCTTAAAGACCAAAGATAGAGTGAGAACCAGGTAGGCTGCCTTTAAGAACATGGTCTGAGTTCCAAAATTGTTCCTACTCTCCCTAGAATCCTTCCTGGACAAAGCCCAAATCCGATTAGTCTCTGGAAATATAGAAAGGAAAAGCCAGGTGATGTTCCCTGAAGTATATTTTTCATGCTGAACTTCATCTGACTTCCCTTGCCTTGTCCGAGGAATCACTAGCACTAATTGCTAATTAAAATTTAATTAATCACTAATTAAAAATGATTGGCCCCCAGTCCAGAGTACTTAATCCACTAAACCACATGTGCAGCATCTTCTATAAATGGTCTCTCCTTTCTCACCCATGCAGTTTCTGGCTTAGACATGAAGTCACAAAGTAAAGAAGTGAGAGGCCCTTTCTTTTTTTTAAAGAGAGAGATGTCAAGTGGGAAAGAGGGGCAGGGGGAGAGAGAGGCTTAAGCCCCTATCTCTCGGCGCAGAGCCCGATGTAGGGCTCGATCCCACAACCATGGGATCATGACCTGAGCCGAAATCCAGAGTCAGACGCTCAAACAGCTGAACCACTCAGATACCCTGAGAGGCTCTTTCTGATCAGAGCAAGATGCTCCAGTGATTGGGCCAATCCTGGCTTTTTCGGCAAATTACCAGGAGGGGGAAAAAAGCTGCTGAATTAAAGGCAACAAAAAATGCTTAAGGAAACGAGTTGAAGGAAAACAAATAGTTTACATTCTAGATTGGCCATTCATTGCTTAAAAATTAGTAGGAATCTGGACAAATAGGCATGAAAGAACAGGAACTATTCATTCTCAAAACAGAAAATGGTGAAGGCAACAGTCTGCTGGGGAAGACAAGACAGTTAAGGAGAAAGAATAAATGGGATTCCTAAATCAAGCTGGGATTTTAAAAAATCCTACAGCTAGCATTAGTTTTCATGATTTTAATTTTTTAAAGAATTCTAAAATGATTTGAAAGCCAGTTGGATCAAATTCCAAATGATATTCTAAAAGAAAGGCCTACCGGACCTGCAAGAGGAAGTAAGACATTTACAGAGAGGCCCCAGTAACAGAAATGCAGAAACTCCACGAACCCAGGCACTTACCTCCGCACTTAGTGGAATCTCAATTGGCTTTGGCTTCACATCTATCAGGTAGAAGGTTCGGGACAGGAGCAACAGAGAAGGAGGGACGTTCTCCTTCAGGTGGAGGTCCTGCCACTGGAGAACAGGAGGGGAATAAAACATGGTCGAATCGCAGAGAGTTGGAACTGGACATGACCCACAGCCATCTTAACGGCTTCCCCAGTGTTACAGCGTCCCCCGCCACAGGCCGGCAAGCAGTGGCACGGCAGGGCTAAGTCTGCCGGCTTCGGCGCCAGTGGCTGTGCTGTGCAAGCACCTCACACCAGCGGGACCCCTCAGAGTGCGAGAGGGGGTCTTCCATTAACCTCTCAAACGAGTGGTGGTTCAAAGTAGCTCAGTATCTTTTCTTAGACACAAAGCAGATAATGCAGAAGAAAAAATAAGCCTCATTCGTAACCAAATAAATAAACATTAACATGACAATCAGATGTAATTTTCAAGAACCAAACTGGCCAAGCTTAAATGTTATGAGAGCGCGATCATCCATGCACAAGAGACAAAATTCCAAAAAAGTGAAATGTCATCACTAACAATGAGCCTGCCTTCTACTCCTACCCTTTGGCTGCTCTGTTTCCCTCCCTAGAAGCAACCAGTTACCAGTTGTCCTGTGAATATACATACATTTATATGATTCTTGTCTTTACAGAGAGTGTGATATATACACACTATCCTGCCCTTTGCTTTTTTCCCACTAAAATATCTTGGAGTTTGATTCATATCAGTAGTTAATCGAGCTGCCTCTTTCTTTTTATTTTATTTTTTGATGTTTATTTTCTAGAGAGAGCAAGAGAGAGAGACAGAGTGCGAGCAGGGAAGGGGCAAAGAGAGAGGGAGACAGAGAATCCAAAGCTGGTTCCAGGCTCTGAGCTGTCAGACGTGGGGCTTGAACTCACGAGCTGTGAGCTCATGACCTGAGCCAAAGTCAGATGCTTAACTGACTGAGCCACCCAGGTACCCCTGCCTCTTTCTTTTTAAACATCTACTAAGGATATTCCATTGTTGCACGGAAGTGCCTCAGTTTGCTTATTCTCTTATTAATACACTTCAGGCTGTTTCCAATAAATGACGCTGCAATGGATAATCTTGCAGATAACATCATACTGCACAAGTGAAATTTCCAGGTCAAAGTAAATCCATTTTTAAATCTTGAAAGATTACGTGGAGGTTTTTCTCGGCAATGCGTGAGTAAACCCTCTCCCTAACCCTCGACAACACACTGCGTTTCAGACTGATCTCTGCCAACGTCATAGGTGAAGGGGATGCCTCAAAGTTGTAATTTATCTTATTCTGAAGTTAAGATGTTTCATATGATAATCATTTTTAGATTTTTCTTTCTATAAAGCGTCTGCCTGTATCCACACAGGAATTTTTAAACAATACATAGTGCTGGATATCATATTGTTGGATTAGTATCCTCACTGCTTTGAGGTAAAAAAATGATACATCCTCTCAAGAAAGCTATTTGACAGTATGAGCTCACTCAGTCCTCTAAGTTCTAGAAATATATGATTTTAAGAAACTCTATGATACGTCATCTTCCAGCTAGAGCAGGTCCAACGTGTAAGAGGGAAGAGCTACCTGACCTGGTTTTAAAGCCACAACAGTGGCTCCTATTCCAAAATACTCTGTGTATACTTTATAGCCCTTCTTCCAGTTGTGAGACTTTTCAGAGTTACTCCTTTGTTTGAAGACATTGATGCTCTCAGTTAAAATAGGTTGTCTGAGGGAAACTATGAAACATCTGCCAGAGGGAAGACTTTACACTGGCTTGGGCACTAACTGGAAAAATGGTCCCAGGTGAGCCACCAGGCAAGGTTTAGACCTCCGGATGGATTCGCACATGACAGGCCTTGGATTCGCACAGCTCTAAGGTGGCCCCAAGAGTTCCTGTCCCTCGTGCACCCACGCCTCCTCCCAGTCATTCAAGCCCAAATGTAGGTGCTGCCCGGACGGAGTCTGCAGATATAATTAAGGCCTCAAGCCAGTAGGCCTTAAAGTAGGAAGTTATCTGACTAGGTCTCACCTACTCACATGAGACCTCTAAATGTGCAGCTAGAGATCAAGAAGAGGAAGTCTGAGATGTGAAGCCTACAGGGGGATGGTGTGTGAGAAGCCTTCCCTTTGCCGGCTTTACAGACACAGGGCCTAGAGGTACGGAATGCAGGTGGTCTTCAGGGCAGAGACGAGCCCGGGGCTGACAGCCAGTGAGGAAATCAGGCTCTCGGTCCTACAGCTGCAAGACACTAAATTCAGCCAATACTCTGAATGATCCTGGAAGTGGAGTCTTCTCCACAGCCTCCAGAAAAAACACAGCCTGCACTTCTGACCGACAGAAGGTGTAAGCTAACAAGCGGGTGTTTTCAGCCACTAAGTTTGTGGTAGTTTCTTATGCAACAACAGAAAACTAACAGAGTGCCCCATCTCTATCAATAAATAAATAAATAAATAAATAAATAAATAAATCTCGCTTCTGGGGTGCCTTGGGGGCTCAGTCAGTTAAGCATTTGGCTTCGACTCAAGCCACAATCTCATGGTTCATGAGTTCAAGCCCCGCACTGGGTTCTGCACAAAGTACGGAGACTGCTTGGGATTCTCTCTCTCCCTCCCTCTCTTTGCCCCTTTCCCACTTGCATTCTCTCTCTCTCTCTCTCTCTCAAAATACATAAACTTGAAAACAAAATAAATCTAGCTTCTTCAGCGTCCCACTGCTCAATTCCATAAGGCAAATTAGGGTAAGACAGTTCGCCTGCAGAGTCGACATCATGAGCAAGGCCTGCACATTGCAGGGAAGAGAGTTCGAGTGAAACCGGCCCTGGGGAGCCACTACTTGCCTCTGTGAGCTGCTGTCTCAGCTGTTCCTCAGTGAGACCCAGAGATCTCATGCCTCGGGCTCTGCAGGCAGCCTGAAGTTCTGACACACTCAAAGCACTCACCCCTTCTTTGGCAATTACCTGAAAGAAATGTAAGCAGTGGTACTGAATCTTTCGGTCCCAGTTTTACCAAACGCCTAACTTCCAACAAATCGGGAAACGCTAGATGTCTCACACCTTGTCCTCGGCACGGACTAAAGGTGCTGCAGCTGGAAATGAAGGGAATCCTGCCAACAGGTGTTCATAATATCCAAGAGAGTCCCAAAACTCCTCCCCAACACTCTGCCATCCAAGTAAGTCTTTCCCCTCTTGGTTAGCATTTTGACTGGTTGTGACATCGCTTCCCCTTCGCCGCAGCTTTAGGCTTCATCAGAAAATATTCTTGAAAAGTTTTCAGTGTTACCATTTGCTGCGCATCCCGTATCCCTCTTCCCCCACCGCCCCCCTACCTCCACGGGGGCACAGCCCTACCTCTGGTCCGCAAAGCTCTCTCCATCATAACACTGTTTCTGCCTGCTGTGCCCCAAAACTACGGTGCTTCTGGGACTGGTACTGTTTATTCCAAAGTTCTGAAAGCAGCAGCTGACATCTAAATGAGGCCAAAGGGATCGTGCTTTCTCAGTTCGGGGAATCTTGTTCCCTTAGGCAGAATGCTTTCTTTAAAGCAGCTGATTCTGACTCAAGAAACATTCTTTCCATTTTTTAAGGCGTCCAATTAGTAACTGCAATGCCTTTTCCTCCATAAGATGTCCAGGCGTGGCTCACCCTCTCTGCGTTACATGTTGTCACCCATTCTCATTAGGCCAACTCACCCAGCAGAATATTCACTGTGGCATCAGCTCTGAGGAAGGGGAGCTGAGGTGTGGGGGCAGAGCACTGGCCTTGGCAATGGAAGACTCTCAGGAATCTCCTGGGCTGCCGGTCGTTCCCAGCAGGTCCTAACTGCTTTAGATTACTAAATTACTAACTGCTTGTGAGGGCCTTCTCCAGAAAATGCGTCAGAGTAAGACAAACAACTGCTAAAATGAGTAATCACGGTTCACGTTGTCATGGCAATGATTGTTTAAACCATTCAATGGTTTGCCAGAACCAGTCCCCCAGCAGATCTAAGAGAAGATATTGCACTTTATCACAAAGCCACCCTAAGGGATCTCCCATGCCTTGCTGATTCCCTATGGCTATGGTTAAGTTCTTACTTCATCATCTGCTTTTATAGACTTCAGTTTCATCAGAAGTTGAAAGCGAAGCAAATTGTTGGTTCCAAAGGGCTGCAATTCTAGTAGTTTGCACAGGGCGACCAGCTGAGGTCGGTCTAGGTGCTCCAGGGTTAGCTGATCCTCAAAAAGTTTGGAAAAGCGAACTATCTCCTTTGTACTGGGCTTGTGGCCCGTCTGGACCTAGGCAGTAGCACAAAGAGGCTCATTAAAATGTATTTCTTACTTAATTTAACCTTCCCTGTAGACTATATGAAAGACACATCAAGGCATTCACAGACTCTATCTTACGTCTGGAAATTGGCCTTGTGGTACAAAGAGGAGAAATCTGTCCAAGTCAGTGGAAGTCAACTGAAAAATAAGGAGCAGTTCACAAGTCTGACTCTAAATCTACAGTTCTTTTCGCGAAGTGATCAACGTCTTCAACACACGACTGCTTTAAAGTGGGGCTTTCTCCAAATCTCTAAATGTTTGCAGTCTTGTATGTGTATAGCTTAGGTATCTGCAAAGTCAGAGACCACAAACAATTTGGAAGCTCCCTGATGACATGATTTTTCATACAACTGCCAGCCTAGAGGCTGTTGTCTGGTGTTACAAAAGAGACTGCCACCTGTTTGACGTAGGATGAGAACTGTGTAGAGGCGTCTCCCAAGTTGGCTCTGTTCCTCCTTGCCATTTCTGTAATTGTTTCTTGAAGAAATTTTGCCAGTTCCAACTTTGCAGCCATTTTCTTTCTCTGTTTTTCTTCCTTAATTATAGAAGAGGAGGAAGTTAATCAAGCCTTCATGATTGCAACTTCATAGATAAAGATAAGAAAAAAAATAACTGCCACCTTGTTACTGTTCATCCCTACTTCGTGTGTTAGTGTTATTTTCAGACCTAATTAAATAGGTTTTGTGAGAAGCAGAATAAAAACCATCCTCTATTTGCAACTTGGCTCCTTAATCTTACTTTTTATTTCTTACTAACACAACAATCATAAATATTTGATAGATCCAAATTGTCCCCTCAATGGCAGCCTTTGAGATCTAATGAGATCCTATCTCTTAGCCTGGTACAAACCAAACCATCTAGTTGGGCCAACCTCTGATCTTAATGCTCCCAGATTTTGCATGAGCCACCAAGAAAACTCGGAAAGTAACTCCATGATACTGTAGCATGCAGTTTCATACAAAACAGATATAATTAATTACAATACACCGACTTAAGTATTACAACGGATGTGAAGAAAGCACTACACAAAAAAGAATTACATGTACCTTCCTTTTTTTTTTTTAAGTAAGCCCTGCTCCCAGGGTGGAGCTTGAACTCCAAGATCCTGTGATCTACTGACTGAGCCAGCCCCTAAATGTACACTCTTAAGACACAGTGTTGACAAGTATTTCTAAATCCTCATTCACTATCAGAAATGCAGTGTGGTAACATTTTCAGAATAACCATAGTCAGGACTCAGGGGGATGGAGAGAAAGAGGAATCTTTATATATTTTTTAAGTTGTCTAAGAGATTTTAATGATCAGCCAAATCACAGCAATCATTGATTTTTAGATCTGAAAAGACATAACCAAAAAAAAAAAAAAATCACACAATGGCAATTGCAATACCATCATTAGAACCGATCCAGTAATCCACTTCATTCACCCACATCCATCCATCCATCTATTCCTTTATTTATTGAGCATCTACCTGGTGCTAGGTGCTGGGGATAAAACAAGCAAAAACAGGTAAGAATTCCTACCCTCATGGAATTTCTAGTTTAATGGGAAAGACAAATGTTAGTGACTAATGACATAGTCCAAAAATTCCACAAATTAACACAAAAGTGTAACAAATAAGTATGATGAAAGAGAAGCACTCCTATCTGATGTAAATAGTGTCCTGTCTCCTCCCTCCCCTCCCATAACCTGCTTCCCTCCACCACTATCTGCTCTGTCTGTCTGTCTCATTTGCTTTAGTCCATGAAAAGAAAGAAACACATACTTTCTAAAACTGTAGCCATGATGTGTGTGTATGTATGTTTGGGGAACGAGAAGCGCTTAGGAAAGAGGAATGTTTAGATACATCACTTCCTCTCTGCCCCCATCTTCCTGCATCCACAAACACATTCCTTAGAATCTCAAAGTATTAATTCTAGGTCTTGATTACTTTAAATGTAAGTAAACTAAACCACTGCCAGTCAGTTAAATATTGCAGCTTGATTCTACCCCCTAACACCTATCTCAAATGTATCTTCAAGTTTTTATTCCTAATGCCACTTTTGTAATTTAATCTTCTCACTCCTGTGGTACTGTAATGCATTCCAGCTGATTTCCCTCCCTTGGCTTTGCCCTCTGCAATCCTTCCAGCTAGCAAAATTCTTTTTCTTTTTTTTTTGGATGTATTTTCTTTTTTTATGTTTTTTATTTTTGAGAGTCAGAGAGAGACAGCACGAGCAGGGGAGGGTCAGAGAGAGAGAGAGAGACACAGAATCTAAAGACAGGCTCCAGGCTCTGAGAGAGCTGTTAGCACAGAGCCTGACGCGGGGCTTGAACCCACAAACCGTGAGGTCATGACCTGAGATGAAGTCGGAGGCTTAACCGACTGAGCCACCCAGGCACTCGGCAAAAATTATTTTTCTAAAATACAGATCTAATCATGTTACTCACCCTCTGCATAAATATACCTTCAATCATTCACCATGGTCAAAGGCAAACTCTAAATTCCTTAGGGTGGTAGACGCTTTCCAACCTGACCCCAACACATCACTTTTGTCTCATCTTCCACCATGGATCTCCTTGTATTCCCTACTCAGACCACAAAGCAGCACTCAGTGTCTCAGATTCTGTCACACTCTTTTACACAATTAAGCCATTGTAAGTGCTACTCTTTCTATCCAAAAAGACTTTCAGGTGCTGCGGCAAAATTCTACCACTTTTCTAGTCTCAGTCACCTAGCTACCTCCTCTATGAGACATTTCCCAATCCCATTTAAAAGTTGTCCTTTTCAGGGGCACCTGGGTGGCTCCTTTGGTTGGGTGTCCGACTCTTGATTTTGGCTCAGGTCATGATCCCATGATCCCATGGTTTGTGGGATTGAGCCCCACATTGGGCTCCATGCTGACAACATGGAGCTTGCTTGGGATTCTCTCTCTTTCCCTCTCTCTCTGTATACTCCTCCACCTTTCCTCCACTGCACTCTCTCTCTCCCCCCTCCAAAGAAATAAACATTTAAAAACAAATACGTAAAAGTTGTCCTTTTTGTCCTCTTTTAATGTCATGTTCATGCCTCTGTACCTCTGTATAGTAAGAGTGGGGCAGAACAGAAAGAATGAAGGGGCCACCACAGTGACCATCCAATAAGGATCCTTCCTCTTCTTCAGGACTGGTCTTAAGCACTAAAGTGTCTGTCTGGCTAAACCTACTGTTCAACTAGTCACTGAAATAGCAGTTGATTTTTGTTTTCTATATATTTTTAGTGGTTAAAAAGATTCAGTAGGATCATACTATCAACAAATGATGCTAGAAAAACTTGCTATCCACATGCCAAAAATAAAAAAAGAGTCTTGACATTGATGTTCCACCTCTCACCAAAATTAACTCAAAACAGGTTATAGACTTAAATTTCAAATTCAAAATTATAAAACATCCAGAAGAAAACACTGGAGGGGCACCTGGCTGGCTCAATCAGTAGAGCATGCGACTCTTGATCTCAGGGTTGTGAGTCAAGCCCACAAGTCAAGGTTGTGCTAGGTGTGGAGCCTACTTAAAATAAAATTTTAAAAATTAGAAAAAAAAACCATAGGAGAAAACCTAGGTGATCTTGAGTTTGGCAAGGAGTTTTTTGGTACAACATCAAAAGCATGATCCAAACAAATATATATCAATAAGTTGTACTTGCTTAATATTAAAATCTTTGGCTCTGTTAAAATCTTTAGCTCTGGGAAAGACAGTTAAGAGAATGGATAAGCCACAGGCTGGGAGAATATATTTGCAAAATGCCTATCTGGTAAAGGACTTGTATCCAAATATACTAAGAACCCAGAAAATGAACAACTCCATTAAAAAAGTGGGCAAAAGACAGGTATCTCCCCAAAGAAGATATACAAGTAGCAAATAAGCATATGAAAAGATGTTCAATATTATACATCATCAGAGAATTGTGAACTAAAATAGCAATGAGGTATCACTTTACACCTATTAGAATGGCTAATATTCAAAGCACTGACAACACTAAATGCTGATGAAGCCACAGACAGAGCTACAGGAACTCTCATTGCTGGTGAGAATGAAAAATGGTATCTCTGCTTTGGAAGACAGTTTAGTGATTTTTTTTTTTTTTTTACAAAACTAAACATAGTCTTACCATACAATCCAGCAATTGCTTTCCTATGTGTTTAGGAACCCAAATGAGTTGAAAGCTTGTGTGTGTCATACAAAAACCTGCATGCAGACATTTATTTATAACAGCTTTATTCACAATTGCCAAAAACTGGAAACAACCAACATATGCTTCAACAGGTGAATTCAACGATCTGTAGTACATCCACACAATGAAATATTATACAGTGATAGAAATGAGCCATGACAGGAGTACACACATTGTATGATTCCAACGATATGACATTCTGAAAAAGGCAAAACTACAGAGACAGTGAACAGATCCCCCCAACGGGGGGAGGTAGGAGGAACAACAAATAGATGACACAAGAGGGCATTTTTAGGGCAGTGAAACTGTTCTGTGTGATAGTATGATGGTGGATACATGACATCACCCATTTTTCAAAACCTAAGAACTGTATATTACAAAGAGTGAAGCCTAATGTAAAGTATGAGATTTAACTAATAATAATATTTAGATATTGGTTCTTCAGTTATAACAAAGAGATCACAGCAATGCAAGATGTTAATATAAGGGACATGGTGGGGTATCTGGGGACCCTCTATATTTTCTGCTCAATTTTGCTATAAACATAAAAACTGCTCTAAATAATAAAGTCTATTAATTTTTTTTTCTTAAAAGAAATCCTACATACCTTTTTGGATTCACTTTCAAAAGTTGACGGTAACATATCTGGGAAGAATTTCAGAAATGCTGGTAGTAAGAGTTCCATGAAAGGTACGATGAAGAATACCATGAATGGAACCAGGCGGAAGAAATCAGCACACGTTCTCAAGAGCTAAAGGATTAAATGCACATGCAGTATTCATTATTTTAGGACATGCCCAAAACAAAACAAAACAAAAAAATGAAACCAAAAAAAGCCTGCCTTGGTTCTTAAAGATTTTCTCTGTTTATAAAATGGAAAGGTAGTTTTCCTCGTTACCACCACTCTGAAGTAATATCTAATGAGATAGCTTCAAGGAAATCTGACAACCAAAACATATTATTGGCATCTCTTAGCTTTCATCTAAGTTAGAGGTCTGTACTTTACTAACACAGTATCTGTTAAAAACTCATTTTTCAAATGCATATGTGTAATATAGTAACAGCAGTTTCTACTGCGGGTGCACAGATCAAATCAGAAACTTCTCCACTCTGTGGGGAGATCAGAAAATATAAATATAACCATTTTATAGGCAAATAAGCATTTGCCTACAGTTGGAGAGTAGGTCAGTTTCAGACAAACTAATTCAGTCAGAAACTCTGGTTCTCACCATCAGTTACTATTCCTACCTTGAGAGTTTTAGGAAGAATTTTAAGTTTAAAACTTGGTTCCCAAATAGTTCATTTTAATTTTATGTTTTCTTTCTCAAATATGACTCTTGCCTACCCTTCGTCTCTCTCTTCTGGTCAGCACCTGTCCATGCAATAGCCTCCAAACCATTCTGGCAGCAACTTTGGTGTCAATCCAAAGCAAATAGAATCCATTGTAATAATATTTAAGTTCATCCATAATTTTTTGTCTGTAAGATCGCTTTTCTTCCTTAATCTTCATGCCGGTTCCTTTCACGGGCTCAGGGTTTGTTACCTGCGGCTTTTTTGGGGTTTGTTCTGGCTGAGGTTTACCAGGGATGTCTTGTAGCCAGCAAGTTGATGTGTGTAGCTTTTGTATTATTCTAGTTCGTAAGTGAAGTACTTTATTGCCTGACTGATTAGGACAGGAGTATTTCTTGCTTCCATAGTTCTTCATGTATGTTTTATTTAAATGGGACTCTGGCAAGTGAAGAAATGCAAATGATGGGGAATAAGAAGAGCTGGTGGGACGGACAAAATGGCTAGGGAATCTGGAATAAAAAGCAACATCCTCTGAGTTGAGCATATACCATTACAAACTCAAAACTTAAAGAAGTAGATATTGTATCTAGCTAAAATAAAAGAACAGTTTTTAAGACTGCATTTTATTTTATTTTATTTTATTTTTTAAATGTTTTATTTATTTATTTCGAGGAGAGAGAGAGAGAGAGACAGCGTGAGCAGGGGAGGGTCAGAGAGAGAGGGAGTCACAGACTGAAACAGGCTCCAGGCTCTGAGCTGGCAGTCAGCACAGAGCCCGACGCGGGGCTCGAACCCACGAACCGCGAGATCATGACCTGAGCGAAAGTCGGACGCTTAACCGACTAAGCCACCCGGGCGCCCCTTAAGACTGCATTTTAAAAGCAGATGATATTCATTAATGAAATATGACTTTTTCCCCAATTGAAGAACAAGGTACTTTATGGTTGAATGATATACTCTAGAAGAAATACTAATAAGTTAATTCCTAAAAATAAGTGCTATATTACAAGTTCGAAACTCTGCAGCCATTAATTTAAAAATCTAATAGCAGGGACGCCTGGGTGTCTCAGTCAGTTAAGTGTCCGACTTCAGCTCAGGTCACGATCTCGTGGTTTGTGAGTTTGAGCCCCATGTCGGGCTCTATGCACACAGCTTGGAGTCTGGAGCCTGCTTTGGATTCTGTGTCTCCCTCTCTCTTTGCCTCTCCCCTGCTCGCATTCTCTCTCTCTCAAAAAATAAACAAACATTAAATTAATTAATTAAAAACATTTAATAGCAAACATTCTTCCATCAGGGTTTGTGTTTGAAAGCGTTGTCTTTATCTACTATCATAAAACAGGTAGAACATTTGTGCCTTTGGTTACTCTGCTGACAGTAAGAATATTGCTGAAGGGGTGTCTGGGTGGCTCAGTTGGTTAAGGGTCTAACTCTTGATTTCAGCTCAGGTCATCTCTTGGTTTGTGAGTTTGAGCCCCACATCAGGCTCTGTGCTGACATCGCAGAGCTTGCTGGGGATTCTCTCTCTCCCTCTCTCTCTGCCCCTCTACTGCTTGCTCGCGCGCTCTCTAAAAAAAAAAAAAAACAAAAAAAAAACTTAAAAAAAGTAATACTGCTTGAACGAAACGCTTCATGGTCTCTGGAGATTAACCAATCACATAATACCACTTTGTCTGTGTAGTGCCCATGGACTCCCTCAAATGAGAGGCATTTACAGCTGAAATGCCCTTCACCTAAGATTCTTCAAGAATGTTAGGTAATGGGGCACCCGGGTGGCTCAGTCAGTTAAGTGTCCGACTTTGGCTCAGGTCATGATCTCACAGTTTGTGGGTTCGAGCCCCGCGTCGGGCTCTGTGCTGACAGCTAGCTCAGAGCCTGGAGCCTGCTTCAGATTCTGTGTCTCCCTCTCTTTCTGACCCTCCTCTGCTCACGCTGTCTCTCTCTCTCTCTCTCTCTCAGAAATAAATAGAACATTGGGGTGCCTGGGTGGCTCAGTCAGTTAAGCCTCTGACTTCAGTTCAGGTCATGATCTCATGGTTCGTAGGTTTGAGCCCCATGTCAGCCTCTGTGCTGACAGCCAGCTCAGAGCCTAGAGCCTGTCTTCGGATTCTGTGTCTCCCTCTCTCTCTGGCCCTCCCCTGCTCATGCTGTCTCTCTCTCTCTCAAAAATAAATAAAACATTAAAAAAAAGAAATAAAACATTAAAAAATTTAAAAAAAAAGAAAGGTAAGAATGAGAATTGGGTACCCCAGCCATAGATCTCAATATAATAGTTTTACAACAGCTCATGATCTTCAGTTAAATTAGCACATCGGATTGTTTGAAAATAAAAAGAAGACCCATCTAGGCAAATAAAGTTCCTGGCAAGGATATTTCTTCTGGCAAAGAGATGGCTTTTCCATTCTTGTGGACTGTTTCTGAAGTATGCCAAAACACTTTTGAAGGGCCAAAACATAACATGTACAATGTATCTGGCACAAAGTAAGTTCTCAGTGAATATTCCTTGGAATAATAAGTGATAACAGACCCAGTTCCCTGAACTGGTTTGTTTGCCAGCCACTCTACTCATTTTTCTAAGTGTCTCCTATAACATTCATCAATTATGGAGGGGTCACTCAAAACCATTACATCTTCTCTTACCTGTGCCACACATCTACAGAATTAGCCTGAGTTCTAAAGCATATAGAAAATTCTGGGTAAGTTTAAATACCATAAACTATCAGCTTCCTAAAAACCAGTATAAAGGCAACAAAACTTTAATTTTTTAAAAAGATTTTATTTTTAAGTAATCTCTACACCTAATACGGGGCTTGAACTCGCAGCCCTGAGATCCAGAGTCCAACACTCTTCTGACAGAGCCAACTGAGTGCCCCCAACAAAGCTTTAATTTGTTGTGTAACAAGCCTATCCTTTCACATATATCTTTTTCATCTAGAAGAAAGTTCATATGAATTTGGCAAGGGAAGGGGGGATTCCACAGCTTACCTTGTTCGGGCAATAGCTAAGACTGTATTATAACTGTAGAAAGCCATATTTATATTTGTCTCAACTAGTCAACAGAGGAACCTAGAAAGAAGGAGTAAGTAAATGATTTAGTATTTTAAAAACACATTAATTGTGGAAACTAATTTGACAATAAACTATTTGTAAAAATAATAATAAAAATAAAAACACATTAATTATAAAGATATCAAGATTTAAGTGTTTTCTATTGAAAGGGTGGAAATTCTGCAATATCCATTCAAGGTATAAAATCTCTTTCAAGTTCATGAATGCGCTGGATCTGGAAATGGTATTTTGAGACCGCAACAAACAGAAATAATTTTTATTATGATTGTGCTCATGATGGTGATATGGTCTTCAAAGACTTCTATTTCTGGTCAGTAACACCTAGTAACCCAGTTGAATGATTGCCAGGTTATTAAAGAAGCTAAGCAATACACATTTATTTGCAGTCTAAAAATACAGGTAGAATAAAGTAAATATCCTGAATTTGTTTCAGTTCTCTTCCCCCCATACTTGGCCAGGCTGCCCCAAACTTTAAAGATTGAAAGTACTCACTAAACACATTCAAGTAACAGTGAAGAGATACATGGTACCTACTAATAATTCAAGTGGAGGTAAATCGGTTTCCTGTACTGGTGGTTCTCCAGAGTCCACACTGAGCTTTATACCTTTAAATAAGCTTTATGAAAACCTTTCTCCATCCTGTGGCTCTTTTCAGCCAAGGGCAGCAAGGTGCTTTAGTAATACCTCTTAGCGTCAACTGTTTTCCTGCAGCTGGACAAGGCCTAGACCTCAACCACAGAGCTGGCATTTTGAACAGGAGTTCAAATAATCCTTCGGAACATCTAAACCCAGGCTAAGGGCGGGTGGTCTCCTGCTGGAGGGATGCCACACCGGATCCGACGGTTAGCTGGCTCTCGGGCCCCTGGGCGCTCCCGCTCGGAGCTCAGGGCAACCACTTCCTAGGCGGGGACTGCGGGGAGCCCCGCCTGCGCCATCGCGCCGCCCACGCCCACACGCCGGGGGGCCCCAGGCTCCCCGGCTTACCTTTGCTTCTGGCCCTTGACGACACAGGGGCAAAACGCGCTCTCGCCTTTTGTGAACGTAATGTGTCGGAAGACTGTGTTTATAGTAGCGGGGTCTGGGGGGTTTCATTGTGTTTGGGTGCGGGGATGATGCAGGTACAACCTTGTCGACGAGCCAGGTTTATGGAAGGAAGACCAGGAGAAGCCGGGCGCGGGGTACGGAAGAGAAAAGAGGAAGCGAGGCGCCGAAAGACGGGGAATGGAGGTTGAGCTCCAAAGTTGGGGGTGGGGGAAGGGCACAAGGTCAAGGGCTGAGGGGAGTGCTCTGGGGAACTGGAAGCTGTCGGGTAAACTGGATGCTGATGGGAAGAGCAGGATGCGGAGGGAGCGGGCTCCGGAGGAAAAAAAAAAAAAAAGCAGGCGAAGTCCTCCGAAAAACAGCCTGAGGACTTGGCCCGCCCACCCCTACCTCCTAGGGCCGGCTCCCCGGAACGGCTGCCTCAGTCCTCCAGTACCTTCCCCAGCCCCCCCTCCCCCAGCCCCCCTTGTAGAAGGGCCCCAGGCCAAGTCTCTATGGCTCCACCTTTTTCCTCACCCGTTACGTCACTCTGAGTGACGACACCACCCGCCAATGAGCTCTCAGGTTATGGGGAGGGAGGGCGTCCTTCGCTGGGGCAGCCCGGGAGGCCGCGAAGGTGCAGTGGCCACCGGCGAAATGACCTCTCTATTGGGTTTAGTTTAAGCAGAGGCTGTGCTGTGGGAGGGGGCAAGACTGACGTTTTTCCGCCTGTCCACACTCTAAACTGTGGGCTAACCCTCACTGAAGGCTAGATTGAAGAACCTCTTAACCTACTGATAGCGTAATACGCCTGATAGTCGCCATGGTAACCATCTTAAAGTCACGAATTACATCACTTTGATGTACTCCCCCACCCCCACCCCTACAAATCAGCAGCTGCCGGGGTTGGGGTGGCGCCGAGAGCTAGGCGGAGAGGGAGTGGCAGAAAGGGCGGGAATGGTTAGGAAAACATCCCTTTCCTTTCTCCAAGGCCTAAGAGTGGAATGCTGTGAAATCTTCATATAGACATTTGCATTCCACTAAAGTAATTTGCTTTATAAATCCGCTCTTAACAGATACTGTCTATGATCGGTAGTTTGTGTAGAAATGTCAAATAACATTTAAGATGTATATTACAGTAGCTGTGCAGTGACGTTGGCACTGCAGGTTTGGGGCGCTTCAGTTCCTAGGTTGGGTAACTGAGCCATCTTGGCAAAGTGAAAGATGCAGAAATATTCTCGCTCTCCTGTTGTTTCTACTCATCCATGTCATCTGGCTCTAGAAGGAAAACAACATTTTAGTGGCTCTACTTGGACTAACACCAGACAATAAGGAATCGCTTTCACACGGATAATACTTCTCTTAACATGTGAGCTGACCACAGACCTTACTCATCTGGGCTGCACATTTGTAAGAATGAAAGATGGCGGGTATTGAATTTCAGTTATTATTATTATTTTTTAATGTAGACTGCTTTTAAACCACAAAGATTTTTCAGCTCTTAACCAGATAGATCAACCATGTTAAATGAGCAAAACTTTTCAGTTTGGCCACGAGAGGGCCCTTTGTGCATGTCTGATGCCCAAGTTTCCACATAAAGGTTTCACGTCACGTTCTATGTTTACTAGAATTAACAAAATCTACAAAGCTTTGGTCTCTTCACCTTTCCTTTCCTGAAAATTCCCGATGGCAAATTTTGAGCTCTAAAAGGCTAGGTGGTTATAATTTTCACATTAATTCCATAAATTAATCACTGCACTGTCATAAACATGTACTTTTCTGAAACAGATCATAAAGATGCAAAAATATTCCTTTCAGTTCCCTGGGAGACATTTTATACCGGGAAATATTCTTATTCATGCATTGTATTCACTTACAACCAGGCACAGTGAAAATCATTAAGTATTCATAAACCAGATGAACGATTCCAAGCTCAGTATTGGAAAGATGAGCTAGATTCTCTACCATAGCCATATGTCAGCAATCCTACTCTAAAAAGGGAAAGGTTAAGAACCTTCCTATTGAAATCTGTTTGTTCAAAAGCAATTTTGCCTTCTGCTATCAGGTCTGGCAATTTTTTGACTTTCATGATTACGTGATTTATCATGTCAGGAGTTTTTGGATATAATCTTTGGAAGAGAAACAAAAATTTTTTTTCTCCATAACTCTGGCCCTGCGAATTGTGTTAGATTGCTGTCCAAATGAACTGTTTGCTCGTTTTGTATGGAGAGGAGAAAGTATGATCTGAACCTCAGAAGATGTTAGATGCTAAAAATGTAAATTATTAATTTTAATGGCCATTTGTCTACATATGACTCAAGATCAAATATTATTAACAATGTATTTTCTAATGTTTTGCAGGAAAAGATTATACATCTATTTGATGTAACTTTAATTTTAAACTCTTGTCACTTAGAAGCAGATTAAAATAAAATCCCTGGGGACAATTTATCAGATTCTCCTCAAGGGGAAAATCCAGGTGTCAGGTCAAAGCAACAATTTATCAACAAAGCAAGGAGTATACAGGAAGGTGGAAAGGAAGGGTGATGATAGACAGAATCATCGTAGGAAAAAAAATATAACCTCTCTTTCCATAAATTCAGGTGTTCCCCTTTAAGATGTCTGTGTTCTAAAAAGACATTTAAAATAAACAAAAATATACTTTTATTGATTCCCCTAACTTTTGCTACTGCACAAACCATGGGTACCACATAAGCATAGGTTTAGAAATGGTTAATGATTGACAGTAATGGGACACTTAATTATCAATATCATCTGTAGTATTATTAACAGGGTTATGTTTTTAAAACGCTGAAACAGTAATCTGTAGGAATTAAAATAAGTGATCTGTAGGAATCTTTTAATTTCTTGTTTAAATGAAATTTAAGATAAAAATACCAGGAATTTCTTGCGGCTGTGCCAGACAGATCCAGAATTACAATGTCGGTGCAGAGGTAACATCTAGTAGTGATACAGCTTTTTTCTCAGAACAGAACGCAGAGGATAGGTTTCCTCGTCTCATTGCTGCTGTGCTTCACACGTTCACGTCTCTGTGCTGCAACATTCTAAATCGTTACTACCAGGCCCCAAGGAATATCACCAAATTTTGCACACTTCTGCAAGGCTACTTTAGAATGTCACACACCTTCTATTGTTTAACATAAATTTCCTAGAAGGGGGAGGGCTTAGAGGGTTACAGAGAATTTGAGTCCCTTTTCCTCTTCTCAATCTTTCGTGAGCTCTGTGGAAGACAAATGCCCTCCCATCCCTGGAAGTGAAGGTCTGGCTGTGAGCAGCAGAGGACCCAGGCACATGACGGACACCGAGCCCTCTCGGTCCCTCGGGGTCCGGGCTGCAGTCGGCGCTGACGTCCTCCTCGTTACCCACAAGCCTCCGGGCCCGCAGTGCGAGCAGGAAGAAGGCGTGCGGGGCCCGGTGCCTACCAGGGAGGTCAGCGCTTCCTCACAGCGACTGAGATGCCGCCACGGCTTGAGATCGTGGGGCGGGACGGGGGTGGGGGCGGGGGGGCATCCGGGGCTCCCATCCGAGGTTGGGAGAGACTGTCCCCCAAGGCTCAAAACTGAAATTGCTATCACGGTTTCCAGACGCAGACCCATGTGAAAGAGGGAGCTCTTCTCTGACAGCTGTCGGACAGAAGGCAGCCAAGGCGGCACATAGATTGTTCTTCTCTCTCCCGGTCATCCTAACCGGGCACTCGTTAGTAGGTTATTTCTAACATCTAGGGAGTGTACAGCAGTGTCACTCTGAGGAGTACCATATGGTGTTTAATATGTGCTGTTATTCAAGTATCAGAAAACACGCATGAACACAATTTTCCCTCACAGGCCCAACCTTTAACCTATTTTTCTAATGGCTTCTTTTTCTTTTCTTTTTTCCCTCCCTGTCCTTCGTACCATTCCTTCCTGTCTCTGCCTTTATCGCCTGCGGTCTCACTTCTCGTCTAGACTCTCGGGCCGCTCCTCTCCGCCCCGCAGACTACCTTCTTCCTCCTTTCGCCCCCCTGCCCCCAAACCGGGGACTGCATTTCCCGGCAGGCGCCGCGGCCAGCGGCCAATGAGGGGCTGAGGATTTGGCGGCGGCGGCGGCGGCGCTCGGAGAGCCCGGGTGGGGGGGGCTTTGTGCGCGGCGGCGGCGGCAGCGGGAGCGGGAGCGGGCGGCGGCGGCAGCGGCTACCAGGACGGAGGCGGAGACCGAAGAGGACTGTCCACTGGTCGCTGCGGAGAGGCGTGCGAAGGCCGAGTAGAGCCCCGAGGACCTTGCTGCCCCGGCGCGGCCGCTAGCCACAGCCTTCTCTCTGGCAGCAGCGGCTGCGCGGCGACCCCCCATCCTTCCACCGCCCCTGGCCACCCCATCTCCCGCAGCCTTCCTCATCTTCGCTTCACGCCCGGCCTGGCCGGCCGCGGCCCTCCTCGGTGCCGGCAGCCATGGCAGAGGCGTCCGGCGCGAGGAAAATCTAGCCCGGGGATTTCATGCGGCCTAGCTCGGTTCCGTCTCCTTCCCCCGCAGCCCCGGCGGCTGCCCGCACCCCAGCCCCACTCCGGGCCTCCGTGTCTCTCCTGTGATCGTACTGACACGGCCGGGGGGTTAGAATGGAACAAACTGAAGGTAAAGTTAATGCTTCTGTGTGTGTATATTTGTGTGTGCTGGAAGGGAGGGTTGAGGAGGGAACGACGAGGAAGGAGCGCGACCTAGGGATGGGACCTGGGTAAAGAGAGAGAGGGTTATCAGGGATGGGAGGACAAGCTGGTGGCCAGAAAGGGTTCGAAGGGAGCCTAGTAGGAAGAGCAGAGGGCCGGGTGGGGGGTGTGGAGGAGATTGGGAGGTGGGGCAGGGGAGGCAGGATTGGGCTAAGAGATGAGTGGCGCTGAGGTGGGAATTGGGAGTAGAGGTGGGATGGGGGCGGGGATAAAGATGGAACGGGGGAGGGGCAGGGAAAGAGAGGAAGAGTTTGGTTTGGAGATTAGAGACCTGGGTGAACTGAGAAATAGGTTTGGGGGTGCAATGTGGAAACTAGAAGAGTCTGGGGGAAGGGGATAGAATTATATGGAGAAATGGGACATCAAGAGAGGAAACGAGGGAATGGGAGTAGAGGAAAAGGGATAAATTGTTGAGACAGGATGCATAGGAAGATAGGACATAGACTCAAGGAAACTGGAAGACTTAGAATTGGTATAGGGAAGGAAATGAACTGAATGTTGAGAAGGATGAGAACTATCGACCAAGCATCACAGAGTGGGAGGGAAAGAAGGGGAAGGGGGCTGTTAAAGGAAGGGGAAAGCCTTTTGTTCCTATATTTCTGTGTATTCTGGGCCTTTTCTTTCAAGGCAAGAGAATATAGAAGAAGCTAGAGGTTATAGTGTTGTGATTGTTGTGGAATGAGGAGGTGTGGGTTTTGCTGTTTTGAGGGCGGAGGAAATGTGTTAGTGTTATGGTATCAAGACAGCAGAGACATGGCCATAATTTGATGGTTTTGCTGAGGGAGTGAAGACTATTCAGATTTAAAGGGGGTAGGGGCAGCCATGTTTGCTGCCAGGCACTGCAGTGTAAATAAATTCCTTCTCTCCGACATCAGTGAATCTGGAAGGGGCCAGTTCAGATTGTCAGCCCCCTTTCTTTCTATTCATGAACTCTTCCCATACATCTTGTGGTAATTTAAAATTATTCACAACCACCAAAGGAGGTAGTGATGTTTTCCATCTTGTGTGTTTTGCTGCTCCCCCCACCCCCACCCCCTTTCCCTCTTCCTTCTGGTTGCAAACAGGCATGCTAATGAACTGCAGTGTAAAATTAACCCTTTTTATAAAGTTGAAACTGTATTTTTACTAGGTGAAGGAATCGTTGCCATCATATTTCAAATGTGATCATCAGAAGTCTTAAATGTTGAAAATTCATTTGTCTTAGAAGCTTCAGAAGCAGTCAACATGTTTTCTGAAATTCTTTAAGTAAACAAGGAAATTGCATTGGTTATTTTTCTTGGGCTTGTGTTCTTGGCAAAGCACTGTGTGGGGGTGAGAAGGGGTAGAAAGATCTGCTTGTAGTAGATTATGTTCTTGCTGTATTTTGAATGTTGGAAAATTAGAAATAGGGTATTTAAAAATGATCTTTCTGATAGTTCATGCTTATAGGTGATGAGTGTGTTAAGAAGTGGTTTTGTTTTTGTGTTTTTTTTTTTAATACACTCTGTCTCCTCCATCCCTTCCCTTTGCTTTCATGTGTGTATAGCTTAGTACAGTCTCCAAATGCTAGTTCAGCACAGTGCAATGATCTATGAAGTAGGCATTTAGTTCTTAGAGCCTCAGTGAAGTTCCAGTTTTTTGGTTTTTTGGTGAGAATTTAAGATTACTCTCAGAAAAGCTACAATAACGCTTTAATGTATTAAAATGTAACTGCTTCTGTAATTTGAAATGGTTACTCTTCCAAAGGTTTAAATCCTGAACAAACTTAGAGTAGATAAATTGTTAAGTGGAGCCTACTTTATTTTCACATTGAAAAGGATTAAATGTGTGTGTGGCGTTTTACTTTTGTTTTATAGTTGTAATGGGGATAATTCAAACTTTAATCCATCACATTGATTTTGAAACTATTCTCTCATACCAGGAAGGTGTGTTAAAATTGTAATATGATGGGCTCAAGCCGGTAATACTACATAATTGATTTAATCTATCTTAATGCAGCATCCTTTCAGTTGTTGTATAGGAGTTTAGGATGTGTTCTGGAAAAATTAAATTGAATATTGTTAGAGTAGTACTTTATGAGAGTACTTATAGTTTAAAGGCCAGATTCAAAACTTGAGGTATTTTGATTTGATGATATTCAGCCTGAATTTTTAATGTTTATTTATTTTTGAGAGAGAGAGAGTGCTTGCAAGCAGGGGAGGAGCAGAGAGAGAGAGAGAGAGAGAGAGAGAGAGAGAGAGAGACACAGAATCCGAAGCAGGCTCCAGACTCTGAGCTGTCAGCACAGAGCCTGATGTGGGGCTGGAACTCGTGAACCGCTGGGATCGCTGGGATTGTAACCTGAGCTGAGGTTGGCCACTTAACGGACTGAGCCACCCAGGCTTTTTGGAATTAATTTTTATGGAGATTTCATTTTTATATCTTCCACTCAATTGACATGTTATTTGTAATTAATTGGTAATATTGTGTGCATGAACTATCAGTGCCGTAAATTTAGGAAAATGAGAAATTCATCTATATTGAAAGAAGAAAAAACTCATGTTAGAAGCTTGAATTACTTTTTTAAAAATGTATTCGTATATATTCAGCATTTTGTCAAGATCAGGGTCCTCTGACTAGCTGTAATGAATATTCTGGCTCTTTTGGATAGGTATCCACATAGCGAAGAAGGGTATTCTAGTTAGATGATAATTAATTAAAACCCAGACTTTGCTCTTATTACCGTATCCATCAGCCCACCTGCTACCTGTGATAGCTGTTTTTTTTAAACAATACTAAGTACGCTCTTTCTTATGCTAATCAGATTGATTGAATTTTGGGTAAAGGAAATAGGTTGCCTTTGAGATTGGTCATCCTTGAGTGAATTGTCAAATCTGTTTCTAAAGACGCTCAGTTTTCTGAAGTTTATAATATTTATAATTATAGCAAAGCTGCTAATAGTTGTCGTCTTACAGTATGTTATGCTAAATGCCTTACATATATAATTTCCTTTTATCTTCCCAACAGTTGCATGATGTTAGTACTATCAACTCCTTTTTACAGATGGAGAAATTAAGATTAAGTATCTTAACAGCACACAGATGGTAACTAGCAAAGCCAGTATTTGAATCCAGAACCTGGATCAGCAGATCTTTTAGTTTCTTTTAAAAATTTTATAAAGATAAAAAAATTATAAAGATAATATATATTCATTATTTAATTTTTTTTCAAATATTGTAAAAGGCTAAGAGGCATATTTAAAAAAAAAGTTAATACCCCATTTCCCCCGATAACCATTTTGAAGTTTCTTCTGAGTCCTAGAAAATATCAGTACATGTTTATATCTGTCTTAAAATACATACAAAATGGGTCATACTGTCTGTTTTTGCTATTGTGGTGTGGGTTTTTTTGTCTTTTGTTTTTGTTGCTCTTGTGTTTTAATAGGCTACCTGGAACATCCTTTTAAATTAGCACATATTTGGGGCGCCTGGATGGCTCTTTCAGTTAAGTATCGACTTGGGCTCAGGTCACGATCTCACTGTTCCCAATTTCGAGCCCCACATCACACTCTGTGCTGACACCTCAGACCCTGGTTCCTGTTTGGATTCTGTGTCTCCCTCTGTTTCTGCCCCTCCCCCACTCATGTTCTGTCTCTGTCTTGAAAATGAAACATTAAAAAATTATTTTTTAAAAATTTTAACATTTTTTATGTATTTTTGAGACAAAGAGAGACAGAATGAGCGGGGGAGCTGTCAACTCAGAGCCTGATGTGGGGCTTGAACTCATGAACTGTGAGATCATGGCCTGAGCCGAAGTTGGACGCTTAATCAACTGAGCCACCCAGGCACCCCTAAAATTTTTTTAAAAACAAATTAGCACATATTTGATCTACAAGTGTTTTTAATTTTTTTAATGTTTTATTTATTTATTGAGACAGAGAGCATGAGCAGGGAGGGGCAGAGAGAGAGGGAGACAGGAAGAATCCTAAGCAGGCTTCAGGCTCTGAGCTGTCAGCACAGAACCCAATGCTGGGCTCACACACGCAAACTGTGAGATCATGACCTGAGCCAAAGTTGGACACTTACTAACCGACTGAGCCACCCAGGGATCCCTAGAACCTTTTTTTTTTCAAGGTCATATAGTATTCCATTGTTTGGAATATTGATTAACCTTAAGATGTTAACTATTTTTTCTATTGTAAGTAGTATAGCAGGTCCTGAATTAAGTACCTAACAGCCAATTGAAATGGAAGAGATATAATCCACTACTTTATTTTTATGAGAGAGAAAACAGAAGCCTAAGGAAGTTAAGTTCCTTTGGTGACAGATCTGTTACCTGGCTCTTTATACTATACCAGATTACTTCATTTATTATGAAGGCATTTGAGCTCTCTGTAAAAGCTCAAGGTGAGGGGGAATATTCAAGGTTAGGCACATTTAATATAATGAATGCAAGAGGATTAATGCAAAAGATCTTGGTTTTTTTCTTTTTTTTCATACTTTGTCCACTATGTTGTACATATAGTATATGCACAAAATATTTTTACGTGCATAAATGCTGTCTAAGGGCCTTAGAGTTTGTGTTTGGGGTAATGAAATTGTTTTGGCAGAATTTTTCCTGTTTTAATAAAATTACCAATGAAATAAAATAGCAATTAAATGAAAAAATAAGAGGTCCATCATGGTCCTATAAAGGAACTTGGAAAGAAAATTGAGGCGTTAGTAAGTTTTTAAAAATGAGCTAAGAAATAGCTCATTGAAAACGAGTTTTAAAAGATCTTAGCAGGCACCACTGATTATTTTTAATTATTTTTGTCAAGAAGAAAATAAGTTACCATGGATACTTATTCATTGGGTTCTTTTGAGACAAAGTCAGTTTTAGACACTTAAAATGATCAAAGCCTTAAAAAGATTTAGAATTTGGTATCTATAAAATTTGTTTCTTGATGCA